GGCTCTGCTCCAGACAATGAAGGTCATATGAAAGAGACAAATAGACAAAGAAACCATGATCCATATCAATTGTATACACTATTGATATTGACCCTCATAGCTCATGTAAAATTGTTTAACAATAATTATATATATGTGCTTTCTTAGAGGAAAAAGTGCAACTTACGTTTATGCAAAGTGTTTTAGTTTAGGGTGGTACTGCGTTTGATGAATTTTCCCATGATAATTAACTTTGTATATCAATTACTGTATCAGTATTATTTCTACACCCATTTTGTGATCACACAATGATGCATGCACAGATAATGAAGTCCACTAATTTACAGAATGTGTGCAGAAGCTGCCTATTGTGCATCAGAGCAGGGTCCAACATTAACTACAACCACTCTCATCAACATATCTGCTGCCTGTTGATAAAATAATCTACATTGTTAATGTCATGCATCAATGTTATGCTGATGCCTCACAGTTCTACATTATCTGTTCGATGGAATCACGTGATGCACAATCCCGACAAAAGGACTTACCAGTAGTCCTGGTGTATACGTCTGATGATGAAGGTCCAGCCATGATGGACACAAAACACAAACACAGATTTGCAAAATGGCAAGTCATTTTAAATGCAGTTTTTAGTAGGTTATTGTTGCTTTTCGGGTATAAATATGTATGCAAACGAGGGGCATTATAATGTATAAGTTCAGGCTGTCTGCTTTTGGACAGTAATTAGTTGTGCACAATATAGAACTATAAAATGAGGTGAAGAAGAGGGGATGTTTACGAGCACAATTGCTTTCTCAAGTTAAATTTGTTCTAAACATTTTATAACGACATTGGGAAGATGCCCCAATGTGTCCAGTTACCACCATCGTCTGCATACATTACGTTTGTACAGTGTAAAATAAGACAAATGTAGATGCACACACAAACAAGTGCAAACATACAATGGCGACCTCACCGTAATATTCGCAGTTGCTGCCATGACCACGGGGGGATGCAGTTAGCACCGGTAGTAGGGGTAAGTCGTATGGCTGATCCACACAGGTACCCCAATTGCCACAAGGGTTGTTCTGGCACGCACCTGCAGAGACATACACACAGGTCATTGCGTTATGGAAATTGGGTCGAATGCATTTTCTTCCTACTCCACCAATACACGCTTCACGTCAAAATCAATCGCGATGAGACAGCTTCCGCTTCTATCCATCGCGTAAGAGAGATGAAGGGAGACTTCCACCGCCGTGAGGTACGCGTGAGACAACAGATACTCACTGGTAGTGGCAGGAGGTGCTGCTCCAGATAATGAAGGTCATATGAAAGAGACAAATAGACGAAGAAACCATGATCCATATCAATTGTATACACTATTGATATTGACCCTCATAGCTCATGTAAAATTGTTTAACAATAATTATATATGTGCTTTCTTAGAGGAAAAAGTGCAACTTACGTTTATGCAAAGTGTTTTAGTTTAGGGTGGTACTGCGTTTGATGAATTTTCCCATGAGAATTAACTTTGTATATCAATTACTGTATCAGTATTATTTCTACACCCATTTTGTGATCACACAATGATGCATGCACGGATAATGAAGTCCACTAATTTACAGAATGTGTGCAGAAGCTGCCTATTGTGCATCAGAGCAGGGTCCAACATTAACTACAACCACTCTCATCAACATATCTGCTGCCTGTTGATAAAATAATCTACATTGTTAATGCCATACATCAATGTTATGCTGATGCCTCACAGTTCTACATTATCTGTTCGATGGAATCACGTGATGCACAATCCCGACAAAAGGACTTACCAGTAGTCGTGGTGTATACGTCTGATGATGAAGGTCCAGCCATGATGGACACAAAACACAAACACAGATTTGCAAAATGGCAAGTCATTTTAAACGCAGTTTTTAGAAGGTTATTGTTGCTTTTCGGGTATAAATATGTATGCCAACGAGGGGCATTATAATGTATAAGTTCAGGCTGTCTGCTTTTGGACAGTAATTAGTTGTGCACAATATAGAACTATAAAATGAGGTGAAGAAGAGGGGATGTTTACGAGCACAATTGCTTTCTCAAGTTAAATTTGTTCTTACATTTTATAACGACATTGGGAAGATGCCCCAATGTGTCCAGTTACCACCATCGTCTGCAGACATTACGTGTGTACAGTGTAATAAAGACAAATGTAGATGCACACACAAACAAGTGCAAACTACAATGGTGACCTCACCGTAATTTTCGCAGTTGCTGCCTGACCAGGGTGGGATGCAGTAGCACCGGTAGTAGGGGTAGTCGTATGGCTGATCCACACAGATACCCGAATTGCCACAAGGGTTGTTCTGGCACGCACCTGCAGAGACACACACACAGTTATTGCGTAATGGAAATTGGTTGACTGGAATTTTCTTCCTACTCCACCAACACACGCTTCACGTCAAAATCAATCGCGATGAGACAGCTTCCGCTTCTATCCATCGCGTAAGAGAGATGAAGGGAGACTTCCACCGCCGTGAGGTACGCGTGAGACAACGGATACTCACTGGGAGTGGTAGGAGGTGCTGCTCCAGATAATGAAGGTCATATGAAAGAGACAAATAGACAAAGAAACCGTGATCCATATTAATTGTATACTCTATTGTTATTGACCCTCATAGCAAATTATCCAAAAAGTATTTAAGGGGGAAAGTATGAAACAATTTTGCGCAGTGTCTTAGTTTAGGTTGGTTCAACATATACATTTGAGCTCCAAAATTCCCTTTTACCAGTTATTAGTATTACTGCGAACATGTTGTGACAATGCAATGGTGCACGTCTTATTAAGTCCACTAAATTGTAGAATATGAGCAGAAGCTACCCATTGTACATTAGAGAAGTGGCCAACATGAACTACATCCACTCTTAATAATACATTTCTTCCCTCTTGGCAAAATCTCCAATCTTAATGTCGAGCATCTACTTCATTCCGATGCCACACAGCTCCACATTGTCAACCGCACTGCCCAGTCTGCTCAATGGAATAAAGTGATGCACGCAACACCGATGAGAGAGGACTTACCGGTGGTAGTCGTGAAAGTGCCGACTATGGATGACGAAGGTCCAGACATGCAGGAGACACATACACAAGTGTGACAAGTCATTTTCATTGCAGTTTTAGAAAACCTCATTGCTGCTTTCAGGGTTATAATAAGTGAACGGGAGTCTGCACGAGTCGCCCTGGCGAGGGAAGCGGCCGCCTACAGAGTACACAAATTGTTGTTGTTGACTCCAGAATTTTCTTCCGCGGAGCCGTGAACCTTTATTCCAACACCTCTTTATAAACCCTCTCTCAACACCTCTTTATAAACCCTCTCTCAACTCCTCTTTCCCACCAATACAGTAAACCCTCTCTGTGCGCGAATTCTGAATTCGCCAGTGACTAAATCTGTGTACCACTTCTGTGTTGGCGACCAGACGGACTCGCAGTGATCGCGCTCTGAACTCGTTGTTGCTGCATTTTTTTACTTTGTATGTCTTACAGTACGACTCGTTTATACATTTTGTTTTAAACGAGTCGACTGTGAGGTCCATTAAAAAAGAACGCGAGAATGTAATCTGTGAAAATGTTGCGGCTATCGCTCCCCAGAGGGCTCAAATTATAACCATGCGTTGCTATGAAACGGCCGCATCTCCAGAGGAGTCATCCTCCTGAATTCATCACCAGCAACCTCCGTCATCGGCAAATCATCATCGTTAAAGCTAACGAAAAAAACTAGTTATTCTTTATACTTCATTATTTATTGTGGTCATCATTTTTAAACATTTACCATTTCCCACCTGATCTATGTTAACTCGTACCAGGCACGTAACCCCATTTGTCTTTCGTATTGCAACGAGGTTTCTGCATTCGCGAGCGTTTTTAGGGATGTAACCCTTCACGGACAGAGAGGGGTTTACTGGGTGCATATTTTGGGGGTTTTCGCCCCATCCCCTTTTTTGTGCCTTTCCTCATTCCTCTGGGCGTGGTCCCTCGTTTCCTTTCTTGACCCCAACATAAAAATCCTGGCCACATCCACCCCCCCCCCAGACCTCTTACATATGCAAACGTGGTGCATTGCAACTACTCGAAGATGATAACGGTCCAAGGCATGAATGATGGAGACAAAACACAGACACGGGTGTGCCACATGGCGAGTCATTTTTCATGACAGTTTTTTTTTTAAGTAGGTCATTGTTGCCGTTCGGGTGTTATGAATGACAACTTATATGGTACGGGATGTCTGCTTTTGGACGGTATACAGACGCATAACGCAAACTCACTATAAGCATACACTTTAATTGTTCAGGATTATTTACTGCTTTCGTTTCAAAAGCTACAGGTTGCTGCTATCTTGCTCGGGTCTGCTGAGGCCAAAAAGCCAAATTGGTTTCGGGGAAAAGATTCCACCCAGCTCCCCCTCATTCAAGAAGTGTCCACACGGCCAAATGCAGTCAGTCGTACAACTCCTCCTTCATAGGGAAGGGATCGTACAAATCGCCAGGTGAGACAGGCCCCACCATCCAGCAACACCGGCATAAGTGGGCCAGCACTGTGCACGAGATGGCTCAGCCGGTGGTAGTCGTTATTGGTAACCAATCATTTGCTGACCCATCGCAATGACGTTCAATATTGTACTTAATTAAAAGTGTTAATTCACACACACAAAAACCCTATCTTCATTAACCATTAACATCATGATCAAATATGTACAGTCATTAAAATTAAATTAAATGTAAGATAAGTACGGAAATGTTGTTTTGTTTACCCCTGTAAGTTATGCAAGGGTGATCGCAAGGAAATACATTTTCTCCCCTCATTATCACCTACCACTGTTCTCTCAAGAACATTTCTTTAAAACAAAGACATTCGAACGATGTAACTATTTTTTTCAGTCGCTATCATTCCATTGCATTCCGCGTGCTGTTACACGAACAAATGTAGATGCGCACGCAAACTACAAAAGGCGCTCTCACCATAATATTGACATTGGCTGCCCATCCATTCCGATGTGCAGAGGCACAGGTAGTAGGGGTAGGTCCACCGGTCCTCGCAGGTACCACCGTTCATGCACGTGGATAATTGACATGCGACTGTGCCAACTGCAATTCCAACGACACGCAATTTATAACGGGGTGAGCGCTCGTATTCCATGTACATCGGCGACATTTGGCAGCATGTTATCATTTTAAATCGTGTCAGGTGTTGCTCCAACAGTGGAGGGAAGACATTGTAGGCTTCCCATTATGTCACGTGAACATCCGTGTGAGTACTCTTGTAGATACGGGAGAGAGCAGCGTACTTACCAGGGGTACGTCCTGCTTCTGAGAAGGCGACGATATTTGAAATAGAAATACAAACATGAACATACGGTGACGCAGGTGACAGTAGGTAGATAAATCGATACATTATTGTAATCCATCACTTTCGTGAGTAAACATAAACACGGTAAATACACAGTGGTATATTTCTTGGCAGTGCTAAGGTTATAAAATGGCAGATCATGTTTCGTGGTGTGATCCAGGACGACATCTTGTCATAACATTTTCCAACCACTGCTGAATTTGTCCAATAAAAAACACTGCAACTCACTCCCCAAATCCCTCATCTTTAAATGCCAGATGATCCAAAATGCCACCACCAGACTCATCAGCCACACATAATGAACGAGACCACATCATCAAAATACTACTTCAAATCCTCCGCTGCCTCCTAATCCAATCCCAGACCAAATGATAACAGATGCCATCATCAAGATCCTCCGTGTACTCGTCCTGAGCTACGGCTTAAGTTTTCCTTTTTTCACTGCATATGACTGACTGCCTCTTATTACATAAGTACAGCCCACTGGTCCTGTGCGTTATACTGAGATGCCCTTCCGATTTTATTGCAATGTAAATCTAAACTGTAATGCACTGCAAATGTTACCTGGTTAGGTGACAGCCTGCAACTGAATGAATGTAATGCTTCTCTGATTACAAAGTAATAATGAAGGACTTACTGTGAGTGGCTCCATGTCCTGCAAACAAAGAATGTCCAGCATTTTAGAGACAAACTCAAACATATTGTGATCAATTGCGAATTTATATTCATGTTCTTGTGTTTAGTTATTATTATTGGTAGACCACACAGGTAAGAATTTGTACAGAGTGAAAGGAGGGTGAAGGTTTGGCCCTTTAAGCAAAGTGACATCTTCGTTAGTTGCGTAAGGGGCAAATAGTGAAGTTCTTTACAAAAGGAGTTCCCAGCGTTATTGCGAAAAGTTGAGGTTTGCCTGCATCTGACGAGTGCATTAAAGCACACGCTGTACCATACGCTGTACCGATGTATATACGCATGCAATGCTGTCGTCCCCTACTCAAAGAAAGTTGAATCCTTCGTCACTGTAGGGTACCAACAGAGAAAACAACACCTCACGTTTGCCCGAATAAAGAGACGCACGCATCACTATTTGCGCACCTTGGACACCACTGAGACTGCAGTCAAGGCCATTCTCACCGGGATGGTCACACCTGGCACCCGAACACAGAAAGTCCCCGGCTTGCGGAAGAGCCGACTTACGGAAATCCGAGTTTACGGAAATGCTCCCATGAATCGTGCTTTTAAAAAAATGTCAACGTGCGGAGATGTTCGCGTTAGTTACGTAAGTGGCAAATAGTGCAGCGTGGTCAGGTCGCGGATGAATATCGCTGTACGAGGCGTAAGCCTGAGCTTCACCGGGATTAAGGTCAATGGAACTGTTTGTAGCGTTATGTAATTATTTTAATTTTGTAGCATTACGTGTTTGTTTTCTATGCTTAGAGCTATATTTTTTTCCACGTGTCTGTGTGTACTTTATTTAACACAATGACACTTCGAACGCTTATGGTCTCAGCCCAGCAGTGATCGGAGAAGTCTAGGCCTGGCCTAATGCACGGTAAACGGACATTCGGAAGTGATTGCTTTTTTTTAATAACAATCAACCTTAAAATATTTCGTGGTACTCATAAACAATTGGATACAGTGTATGTTCCATTAGTTTAATAATGGGTAGTGTTAGGGTAGATATTCGATTAAAGGAAATAATCATAGCAAGTGCAGAGTGTATGTACCACTATACGATAAGGTAGCGATAGAGAATGGACTATAGCACGATGCAGTACTGATTAAAAAAAAAAACAGTAGGGTAGGCACAGCTATTTCCGGCTATGGGATTTTATCGTTGATTGTGGGGGGAAATTGTTCACTTTCCTAAAATAGGGAAAATTCGGGTTACGAATCGTTCTTGGGAACCTAACCCTTCCGTAACCGGGGAGTGCCTGAAACCTGGATTTCAGCTGCACTGGTAGTAGGGGTAGTAGTATGACTTTTCCATACAGGTGTAGTGGCATATGACATCACTACTGTATCGGGTCTGTATACACATGACGTCACTGCTATGTTGGGTCTGTACACACATGACGTCACTGCTATGTTGGGTCTGTACGCGTGACGACACTGCCTGTTCGGTATGGAAGCTGTTGATGGGTGCCACGGGGGCGGTGTCAGGCCATGGCACTCCGAGTTTCACCGGCTGGACACGGATCCAGGAGGGGGCCAGGGGCCCTGGGGGACCCTGGGGGTCACGTGGTCGGGGAGTGGAGCCTTCTCGTGGGTTCGAGAAGGGGGCGTGGCCAGGGTGTGGCCGGCCACGCCAGAGAGGCTTATAAGCGGGCTCAGCGCAGAGAGCTGGGCTGTTGATGCCTGGGCGGAAGACGTCTCATGCAGACTCTGAAGAAAGAAGCCTCCAGTCATCGTGACCAAGCAGAAACCCTCCTGGCTTGGCCACGCCAAGTAGTACCCGAGTGTTAGCGAGAGTAGGACGGTGGCCACCACCTTATGTGTAGGGTGTGTTATAATTGTGTTGCAGTTGTGTTAAATAAATAGTGCTGCCTCCACATGAGTGTAAGCACCTCAATCGAACCATTACAAAGGTACCCCCATTGACACACGAATTATACTGGCACCGCCCTGCAGACAAACACACAGCCATTGCTCCATGGACATTTGGTTGACTGGAATTTTCTAACCTACTCCGCCAACAGCCTCTTCATCACAACATTAAACTGTGACGAGGCAGCTTCCTCTTCTGCCCATCGTATTATAGAGATGCAGGGAGACTTCCACCACCGTGATGTATGCGTGAGACACCGGATACTCACTGGCAGTGGTAATAGGCTCTGGTCCAGACAATGAAGGTGACATGAAAGAGACAAAGAGACGCAGTCATTATATTGTAACTCAAAGGTCGCGATAATCTGCTGAATAAGGATATTCATAACAATGCAAACTCACACTCAATTAATCTTCTTTACATTGTTTAATATGGGCAGTCGCCGAGATATAAACGTTCCGACTGACAAACATCCGCACTTATGAACGAACCGCCGTTAGATTATATTATTGTTAACCGTCCAATTCCGAACGTTCGGTCGTGCTTACGAACCAAACCGCGGAACTACTTTGTTCAACGGACTGATCCTCCTCGAGTTCCAGGGGCAAGTACTATGAGCGAGCACCTATGAAGGGTCGCCCCGTACACGAGGGAGTGGGTGGCCAGCACCACGCCTTACCGTCTTTGTCTCCCAAGTGGGGATGTTTACACACCGCACTAGGTACTCATTTGAGGCTGAGTCGACCTCGGGGAGTCCCAGGACTGGTTCAGATAATCTTATCAGCTCACACACAAGAGGTGTATTTCATGAGTAAAGTGTGATTCTTCCAGATCACAAAGAAATCAATGGAAAGCATACAAGTCTAACAGAGCGAGGGTGAGGCCGGGCAATAGTAGATATGTTCTACTCACCAGGGGGAGGCGTGGGAACTGGTCCAGGTAATTAAGATGAAGTCCATTGAAAAAGACAAAAGTTCATTATTTGTGGTTAAACCGTGACATCTATTGTATTTTACTGACCAAACTGTGAAATCTATTGCATTTTACTGATAAAATCATGACATCTATTGCATTTTACTGATTAAACAGTGACATCAGGGATGCAAGCGCACCAGTAGTTGGGGTAGTACAACTCATCGTCGCAAGTCCCTCCGTTGAGACATGGTTGGACTGGCAGCCCAGCTGCAGCAAGAGGCATTCAAGGGAAGTGTGCATGATTGGTGTGTCGCTTTTATGCAAATAAAGTCAAGTTTTGTTTTGGTTAACCCGGAGAGAGTTCTAGAGACCAGCAGAGTCCCGACTGTGCAAGAGTGACCTGGGTACAACGTGCACAAGGCCCTCAACAATATTATTTTTATTCTTAGTTTTTTCGGTAAAGTCACGTTGAAGAGAAAACACAATTACTGCAGTCACGAAAGCTTTAAATCAAAATGTAATATTATTATTTTTGTCTAGCTATCATTTCCATTGCGTCCTGCACCTGTCTATACCAAGGAACCAAGTAATAATTTAGGGCCACATCAACCAACACTAGATGACTATACAATACATCTTAGCGACTGACAACAAGGCACTTATCAGCAAAGACAAATATCCCCGTAGAGCCTTAACAGACTTTTGGGCAAGTGCTATGAGCGAGCACCTATGAAGGGTAGCCCCGTACACGAGGGAGTGGGTGGCCAGCACCACGCCTGACCGTCTTTGTCTCCCTAGTGGCGATGTGTAAACAACCGCACTAGGTACTTATTTGAGGCTGAGTCGACCTTGGGGAGTCACAGGACTGGTTCAGAATAATCTCATCAGCACATACACAAGAGGTGTATTTCATCAGAAAAGTGTGATTCTAACAGATTACAAAGAAATCCATGGAAAGCATACAAGTCTAACAGAGCGAGGGTAAGGCCGGGCAAAAGTAGATATGTTCTGCTCACCAGGGGAAGGTGTAGGAACTGCTCCAGGGTAATAAAGATGAAGCCAGTTAAAAAAGACAAAACGCATTATTTGTGGTTAAATCGTGACATCTATTGCATTTTACTGATAAAATCATGACATCTATTGCATTTTACTGATTAAACAGTGACATCCATTGCATTTTGCTGATCAAACGGTGACATGTATTGCATTTTACTGATCAAACCGTAACAGCTATTGCATTTTACTGATCAAACCGTGACATATATTACATGTTACTAATCAAATGTGCACTACTGCAAGCGACACACTCGTCAACAGCAGACTCACCATAGTAGTCGCAGTTGCTGCCCGACCATGGCGGGATGCAAGCGCACCAGTAGTTGGGGTAGTACAACTCATCGTCGCAAGTCCCTCCGTTGAGACATGGGTTGGACTGGCAGCCAGCTGCAGCAAGAGGCATTCAAGGGAAGTGTGCATGATTGGTGTGTCGCTTTTATGCAAATAAAGTCAAGTTTTGTTTTGGTTAACCCGGAGAGAGTTCTAGAGACCAGCAGAGTCCCGACTGTGCAAGAGTGACCTGGGTACAACGTGCACAAGGCCCTCAACAATATTATTTTTATTCTTAGTTTTTTCGGTAAAGTCACGTTGAAGAGAAACAACAAATTACTGCAGTCACGAAAGCTTTAAATCAAAATGTAATATTATTTTTGTCTAGCTATCATTTCCATGTCCCTGCACCTGTCTATTCCAAGGAACCAAGTAATAATTTAGGGCCACATCAACCAACACTAGATGACTATACAATACATCTTAGCGAGTGAAACAAGGCACTTATCAGCAAAGACAAAATCCCCCGTAGAGCCTTAACAGACTTTTGGGGCAAGTGCTATGAGCGAGCACCTATGAAGGGTAGCCCCGTACACGAGGGAGTGGGTGGCCAGCACCACGCCTGACCGTCTTTGTCTCCCTAGTGGCGATGTTTAAACACCGCACTAGGTACTTATTTGAGGCTGAGTCGACCTTGGGGAGTCACAGGACTGGTTCAGATAATCTCATCAGCACATACACAAGAGGTGTATTTCATCAGAAAAGTGTGATTCTAACAGATTACAAAGAAATCAATGGAAAGCATACAAGTCTAACAGAGCGAGGGTAAGGCCGGGCAATAGTAGATATGTTTCTCTATTGCATTTTGCTGACAAACGTGACATTTATTTGCATTTTACTGATGCAAAACCGTAACGCGATTGCTTTTACTGATCAAACCGTGACATATATTACATTTTACTAATCAATGTGCCCTACTGCAAGCGACAAGACACTCTCAACAGCAGACTCACCAAGTAGTCCAGTGTGCTTCCCGACCATCGCGGATGCAAGCGCACCAGTAGTTGGGGTAAGTCGCAACTCCATCGTCGGCAAGTCCCTCCGTTGAGACATGGGTTGGACTGGCAGCCACAGCTTGCAGCAAGAGGCATAATTCAAGGGAAGTGTGCATGATTGGTGTGTCGCTGTTATGCCAAATAAAGTCAATTTTGTTTTGGTTAACCCGGAGAGAGTTCTAGAGACCAGCAGAGTCCCGACTGTGCAAGAGTGACCTGGGTACAACGTGCACAAGGCCCTCAACAATATTATTTTTATTCTTAGTTTTTTCGGTAAAGTCACGTTGAAGAGAAACAACAAATTACTGCAGTCACGAAAGCTTTAAATCAAAATGTAATATTATTTTTGTCTAGCTATCATTTCCATTGTCCCTGCACCTGTCTATTCCAAGGAACCAAGTAATAATTTAGGGCCACATCAACCAACACTAGATGACTATACAATACATCTTAGCGAGTGAAACAAGGCACTTATCAGCAAAGACAAATATCCCCCGTAGAGCCTTAACAGACTTTTGGGGCAAGTGCTATGAGCGAGCACCTATGAAGGGTAGCCCCGTACACGAGGGAGTGGGTGGCCAGCACCACGCCTGACCGTCTTTGTTTCCCTAGTGGCGATGTTTAAACACCGCACTAGGTACTTATTTGAGGCTGAGTCGACCTTGGGGAGTCACAGGACTGGTTCAGATAATCTCATCAGCACATACACAAGAGGTGTATTTCATCAGAAAAGTGTGATTCTAACAGATTACAAAGAAATCAATGGAAAGCATACAAGTCTAACAGAGCGAGGGTAAGGCCGGGCAATAGTAGATATGTTCTGCTCACCAGGGGAAGGTGTAGGAACTGCTCCAGGTAATAAAGATGAAGCCAGTTAAAAAAGACAAAACGCATTATTTGTGGTTAAATCGTGACATCTATTGCATATTACAGATCAGACCATGACATCTATTACATTTTACAGATCAAACCGTGACATCTATTGCATTTTACTGATCAAACGGTGACATGTATTGCATTTTACTGATCAAACTGTAACAGCTATTGCATTTTACTGATCAAACCGTGACATCTATTACGTGTTACTAATCAAATGTGCACTACTGCAAGCGACACACTCGTCAACAGCAGACTCACCATAGTAGTCGCAGTTGCTGCCCGACCATGGCGGGATGCAAGCGCACCAGTAGTTGGGGTAGTACAACTCATCGTCGCAAGTCCCTCCGTTGAGACATGGGTTGGACTGGCAGCCAGCTGCAGCAAGAGGCATTCAAGGGAAGTGTGCATGATTGGTGTGTCGCTTTTATGCAAATAAAGTCAAGTTTTGTTTTGGTTAACCCGGAGAGAGTTCTAGAGACCAGCAGAGTCCCGACTGTGCAAGAGTGACCTGGGTACAAGGTGCACAAGGCCCTCAACAATATTATTTTTGTCTAGCTATCACTTCCATTGTCCCTGCACCTGTCTATACAAAGGAACCAAGTAATAATTTAGGGCCACATCAACCAACACTAGATGACTATACAATACATCTTAGCGAGTGAAACAAGGCACTTATCAGCAAAGACAAATATCCCCAGTAGAGCCTTAACAGACTTTTGGGGCAAGTGCTATGAGCGAGCACCTATGAAGGGTAGCCCCGTACACGAGCGAGTGGGTGGCCAGCACCACGCCTGACCGTCTTCGTCTCCCTAGTGGCGATGTTTAAACACCGCACTAGGTACTTATTTGAGGCTGAGTCGACCTTGGGGAGTCACAGGACTGGTTCAGATAATCTCATCAGCACATACACAAGAGGTGTATTTCATCAGAAAAGTGTGATTCTAACAGATTACAAAGAAATCAATGGAAAGCATACAAGTCTAACAGAGTGAGGGTGAGGCCGGGCAATAGTAGATATGTTCTGCTCACCAGGGGAAGGTGTAGGAACTGCTCCAGGTAATAAAGATGAAGCCAGTTAAAAAAGACAAAACGCATTATTTGTGGTTAAATCGTGACATCTATTGCATTTTACAGATCAGACCATGACATCTATTACATTTTACAGATCAAACAGTGACATCTATTGCATTTTACTGATCAAACAGTGACATGTATTGCATTTTACTGATCAAACCGTAACAGCTATTGCATTTTACTGATCAAACCGTGACATCTATTGCATTTTACTGATCAAACGGTGACATGTATTGCATTTTACTGATCAAACCGTAACAGCTATTGCATTTTACTGATCAAACCGTGACATCTATTACATGCTACTAATCAAATGTGCACTACTGCAAGCGACACACACGTCAACAGCAGACTCACCATAGTAGTCGCAGTTGCTGCCCGACCATGGCGGGATACAAGCGCACCAGTAGTTGGGGTAGTACAACTCATCGTCGCAAGTCCCTCCGTTGAGACATGGGTTGGACTGGCAGCCAGCTGCAGCAAGAGGCATTCAAGGGAAGTGTGCATGATTGGTGTGTCGCTTTTATGCAAATAAAGTCAAGTTTTGTTTTGGTGAACCCGGAGAGAGTTCTAGAGACCAGCAGAGTCCCGACTGTGCAAGAGTGACCTGGGTACAACGTGCACAAGGCCCTCAACAATATTATTTTTGTCTAGCTATCACTTCCATTGTCCCTGCACCTGTCTATACCAAGGAACCAAGTAATAATTTAGGGCCACATCAACCAACACTAGATGACTATACAATGCATCTCAGCGAATGAAACAAGGCACTCACCAGCAAAAACAGATATCCGCCGTAGAGCCTTAACAGACTTTTGGGGGCAAGTGCTATGAGCGAGCACCTATGAAGGGCAGCCCTGTACACGAGGGATTGGGTGGCAAGCACCACGCCTGACCGTCTTCGTCTCCCTAGTGGCGATGTTTAAACACCGCACTAGGTACTTATTTGAGGCTGAGTCGACCTTGGGGAGTCACAGGACTGGTTCAGATAATCTCATCAGCACATACACAAGAGGTGTATTTCATCAGAAAAGTGCGATTCTAACAGATTACAAAGAAATCAATGGAAAGCATACAAGTCTAACAGAGTGAGGGTGAGGCCGGGCAATAGTAGATATGTTCTGCTCACCAGGGGAAGGTGTAGTAACTGCTCCAGGTAATAAAGATGAAGCCAGTTAAAAAAGACAAAACGCATTATTAGTCGTTAAATCGTGACATCTATTGCATTTTACAGATCAGACCATGACATCTATTACATTTTACAGGTCAAACCGTGACATCTATTGCATTTTACTGATCAAACGGTGACATGTATTGCATTTTACTGATCAAACCGTAACAGCTATTGCATTTTACTGATCAAACCGTGACATCTATTACATGTTACTAATCAAACGGTGACATGTATTGCATTTTACTGATCAAACCGTAACAGCTATTGCATTTTACTGATCAAACCGTGACATCTATTACATGTTACTAATCAAATGTGCACTACTGCAAGCGACACACTCGTCAACAGCAGACTCACCATAGTAGTCGCAGTTGCTGCCCGACCATGGCGGGATGCAAGCGCACCAGTAGTTGGGGTAGTACAACCCATCGTCACAAGTCCCTCCGTTGAGACATGGGTTGGACTGGCAGCCAGCTGCAGCAAGAGGCATTCAAGGGAAGTGTGCATGATTGGTGTGTCGCTTTTATGCAAATAAAGTCAAGTTTTGTTTTGGTTAACCCGGAGAGAGTTCTAGAGACCAGCAGAGTCCCGACTGTGCAAGAGTGACCTGGGTACAACGTGCACAAGGCCCTCAACAATATTATTTTTGTCTAGCTATCACTTCCATTGTCCCTGCACCCGTCTATACCAAGGAACCAAGTAATAATTTAGGGCCACATCAACCAACACTAGATGACTATACAATACATCTTAGCGAGTGAAACAAGGCACTCATCAGCAAAAACAAATATCCCCCGTAGAGCCTTAACAGACTTTTGGGGGCAAGTGCTATGAGCGAGCACCTATGAAGGGCAGCCCTGTACACGAGGGATTGGGTGGCCAGCACCACGCCTGACCGTCTTTGTCTCCCTAGTGGCGATGTTTAAACACCGCACTAGGTACTTATTTGAGGCTGAGTCGACCTTGGGGAGCCCCAGGACTGGTTCAGATAATTCTATCAGCTCACACACGAGATGTATTTCATCAGAAAAGTGTGATTCTTCCAGATTACAAAGATATCAATGGAAAGCATACAAGTCTAACAGAGTGAGGGTGAGGCCGGGCAATAGTAGATACGTTCTACTCACCAGGGGAAGGTGTAGGAACTGGTCCAGGTAATTAAGATGAAGCAAGTTGAAAAAGACAAAAGCGCATTATTTCGTGGTTAAACCATGACATCTATTGCATTTTATTGATCAAACAATGATATCTATTGCATTTTACTAAGCAACCCCTGACATATATTGCATTTAACTGATGAAACCATGACATTTATTGCATTTTACTGATCAAACCGTGACATCTATTGCATTTAAATAATAAAATGTGCACTGCTGCAGCGACACATTAGTCAACGAGGAACTCACCATAGTAGTCGCAGTTGCTGCCCGACCATGGCGGGATGCAAGCGCACCAGTAGTTGGGGTAGTACAACCCATCGTCGCAAGTCCCTCCGTTGAGACATGGGTTGGACTGGCAGCCAGCTGCAGCAAGAGAGATGTCATTACAGAACCGTACAGCCAGCATTGCGCGGTAAGGCCGCCCGTGGTGATGGTGTTTGTTCTCGATTTAAAGCTTTCGTGACTGCAAGGATTCATCTTCTTTGGTTCTTTCGGTAAAGTCACGTAGAATGAGAATAAAATAATAAAATAAAATAAGACAATAAAATTCTCAATTGAGAATTCTCAAGTGTTTATTCTGTTCACGATTCTAAAGGTCTACACCAGTTTCACTCCAACAACGGCAGTGGGAGCAGAATCGGAACGAAGCAGGCGTCTAGGTGCAAGTAACAGAGAGAGAAGTGACACTTACCGGTAGGGGAAGTAGGGCTCACCGTTCCAGGCGATGGTCGTGGAGTTACTATGGACACAAATATAGACACAGGGCAGTATTGAAAAAGAATGTCCATTTCATCATCATCGTTATTATTCAGCCATGCATCCATCCTACGACGTCAAAGTTGCTTCCATCTCATTGTAGATATTAATATTCCGTGAAAAATGGATGACCAGACAGGAGATTGTTGCAGAACTGTAACACTTTTTTTCAACAAAAAGTTGCTCTGGTCCACATTCTAACTTCACGCAGATTCGTCCCGTGACATAAATATCTGAAACCCATTGCCTTGGACATGTATCCCTTGTTTAGTGGAGACATAGGAACATTTTTTACAAAAAATTGTCTCTAAAATATATCCGCCAAAGCACCAATCACAGCCTCTGTATTCGATTTTAAATTGTAGCGGTGCTTTTTCTTGTTCTTGTAGTTGTGAGAGAAAAAAATACTTGGCATACAGCAATACGGGAGAGCTTTGCCTTTGTGATCGCACTTTCATTTCTGCACATGGACACGCGCACACGCAACGCGGTCCACCCACCTTGATAATCACAGTTTTCGCCGTATGTGAACGGGATGCAGTTGCAGGAGTAATAGGGGTAGACATTCTCATCCACGCAGGTGCCCCCATTGTAACACGGGCGAGACAGGCATGCCCCTGCAGAGACATGTAGATTTTGTTCGGTCATAGTGTCCTGGCATGTCATTCACATTGTAATATAATCAAGCGTCTCTAACGTCAACAAGATGGTATACCCCTTAAACTTATATTCACCAATTTAACACGTAGGCTTTTCGCGACCAATATTCATGACAAAGGCATTTGGGATAGATCGCGTAAGTATAAATGTGTCGTTAGTCTACCACCACCTAACACAGCCAATGAGTAAGGTTTGTCACGTGAACAAAACACAATTCTGGCAAATGGCCTGATGAAGCTGGTTGTTTTAATCACCAGCGAAACGTCGTACTCATTAGTAAATGCTGTGGGTTAACTCTCCATCTCACAACCGGTGTGCTCAAGTAGTAACTAACGCATCAGAAAGGGCACCCCCAGTAGCAGCTGTCCCTGCCCTGGCACAAGGTGACTTCAGCACCTGGCCCGCAATCAGACATTCGCCTGGCGGTAAGGGGCAATCATTGCTATGTATAATCCCAATTGAGAAACCTAAGGGTAGACTTTTGATAGGCTCTGCTATAAAGTTCGACATGATAAGCCACTTCATTGAGCTATCATTTGTGGCCAGGTCGCTTCTGAAAAAGAGCTGTATAGCTCAGTGGACCTTACCTAGAAGAGTAGAGAGTATGTGCTAGGAGACACGTATGTGGGTTAGGAGTTATGCGTGGGTTAATGTGTAGTGGGCTCAAACGGAGTCGCAGACGTACTCTGTAGAGGCAACACATTTATTTAACACTAACACTGGTTAAACACTATACAACCTATGGTGGTGACCACCAGACTAACTACACTAATCACACAGTAACTAGCTACCACGGACAGGACCACAACTTGGGTCCAGGTCCACGTGTTGGAGACTCTTCTTGGATGTAGAACGTAGGTTTCTTCAGGATAACAACAGCAGCCGGTCGCTCTGGGAACCCGGCTTATATCCTGTGTGGCGGGGCTCGCTCCACCCTTAGCCACGACCACCTTCTAGAATCGTCGAGCAGGATCTTGACCTGGACACGTGATCACCCCTAGCCACCTTTTGGAGGCCCCCGTGTAGACACCACCGGTCACATGTCCTCCGGGGTCAACCAGAGTGCCGTGGCCCCTTGTAACCCTATTCTATGGCCGGCACTCTTGCACCCTATCCTGTAGGGGCTGGCACTACATGCCGAGCATGGTGCCATCCATCACTGTCAGTCAGCGCTCACGCAGCCCCGCTAGGGCTGGTACTGCATCCACATTCAAGTGGTGTCCACGATATCAATACATCGCACGCCGTGTCTCTCCCAGGCCGGCCTCACACAGTGACATCCAACGATGTCACTACAAATGTACGCATCTGACAATTATCTCAGTCAACCCATGGCACCTGGGTCTGTCCCGTGACCTCCTGCCGTCGGGCGTTTGAGACTTCGCGTAGCCTTAAAGTGCACAGAGCCTGACACAAGAACCGTGGTGATGTCAATGCCACTTATTGGCAAATGGCGGTTGTTGTTGTTGTTGTCAGAGAGCCGGGCATTGGTCAAACAACTTGAAAGAAGGCCCGCGGCCTGCGAGTGGACATACATGGGTGGAGTTGTCCATTGCCTTGGATTCCCTCAACACAAAAGTTGTCTGTGGGCAGTGTGAGCCCTGGAAGGGACTCACTCCCGTTATTGTCCGATCATTCGAACATCTCGCATTGTGCGCGATGTGGTGATGCAAATCCGAAATGCACAGTGGATTTTTTTCTGAAGCGTTGCTATTGTCCGATCAACATTGGCCTACTTTAGTATGGGCCCTGAGAGTGTTTACTTGTGTGGAGGCACAGTTCTAAATCAAATGGGTTTCATGACTCTTACTGGAGTAGGTAGGTGTAGGTGATTCTGTTTCAGGCGTAGAAACTGCAGACACGCGAGAGAAACAATCACACAACACACACACGGTGAGCAACTGTGCAGCCATTTTTCTTTTTCGTGGAAACAGAAACCAATGAATAATTTTAACAAGCGTTAACTTCTGCCCGATCGAATATATTCACGTTTACGAAATGGAATATGCTGCAGTGGACAGTAGTTTAATAATAGTGCGTGAGTGCATAAATATTACGATGTTAAAATAGCGTGCGATTTCACACAAAAATCTACCCCTCGGTAGCAGTTATATACATATCATTTGATATCGTTACAGGAAAGGTTTTGTGAAGTGATGGGGATGACTTTCTTTAAAATGTACCCCACACACCTCAAGTAATAACGCAGACACTGGGTTCGGAAAAATCCCACGAGGAGCTGACGTCTGTCGATCTCCTCTCAGCATTGAAAGCATTTAAAATAATCAAAATCCGTGTAATGACACACGGTATGGAGTTGCATTTTCTTATGGTACTTATGTGAGACGTAGTATCTGGGTGGATGGCCTAGCATGTCAAGGCTTTCCAATTTAAAACCCACACCTCAAACTCTGCATCTGTGGTAGGGTGTTTGTACGATATAAAAAAATGCAAGGCCATTCTCACTATTTTTTTTAATCTCACATTGTCTCAAATTTCCTTTGCACTGATAACATTTGAGCAATTCATAGGTGAACAGGATGCCTCTGCGAATTCTTCCACTGCTGACTGATACTATTTGTTATCTTGTATATTAATCCCTGAGATTATACAGTATATATTCATGTATTTCCACCTGAGTGAATACGTTAACAAGGCTATAATTTGCACACGTGATCGTGAAGCTTGAACGCGATGCGTCTCAATGCATCCACCTCTTGCAAAAATACAAAATACTTATTTTGCAAACATTCAACTTTTAAGGCGGAGCGTTTGAAATTACCAATTACATCGCGCATCGCGTTTCCACACACAGCATACATATACGCGCACAGACAAAATCACGGCGATAAACTCGAGCAAACAAAAAAAGCCACCTTCTGAGCAGATGACCGAAGCGTCTTCGTTGTGGCCACAGTTGTGCACGCCAAACGGAGGGTGGCCACACTCCGATAGCTGAGGCTCGTAGCCAAAGCACTGGACATCGTCCAGCCAGATGTTACCGCTGCCCTCTCCGAAGTAGGCGTTTTGCAGGGCAGCCTGGGCGGGCCCACAGCCCAGCTGACGGCACACGATCTGGGCGTGAGGTAGCTCCCAAATATCGTCGCACACTGTGCCCCACGAACCGCTGTAGAACACCTCCACCCGGCCCTGACACGCACCTCCTCCAGCCAGGCGGATCGGGAAATCTGATCCAAATGCAAAGGTGAGAAAATCAGTGAGCAGGCGGCTGAGAGCAATGACGCGGTGCAGCTTGGCTGGGTGGCTCCTGGCCAAGTGTCCACCGTCAATGACTTGGGTTTATGATTTGTGTTTCCATGTCATGTGGTGGTTGATTTTACGGAACCATTTGTTTTGTGAAATCGATATAGTCAATGAAGACGTTTAAGTTTTCCCGCGCATTAAATATAATTCTGCTTATGATGAGATATGCATGTATATTTACAGTACTGAGAGTTATGGTGCATACGTTTTAAGTCAAAATCAGCGACGTAATGATTTACATCAAATTATACACGCACACGCAGTGCTTATTATTGTAGTCGAATGTCAAAAAATGTCTAGATCACGCAGCACACTGCGTTAGAAATCAACTCCGTATATTTTTGCTTAATGGTCAGTGGTTCAAAGGAGCGGATTTATTCTCTTCTGCTTCTGTATAAAAATTCCAGGTGAAGTATAAATTGTGCCCTTGCAACTCAGCTGCTCCTCTTGCCCAAAGACGATCGCTCACTGACATTGCCCTGTAGGCCGGACGAGCATCCGCAGACCATGATGCCTGTATGTTTAGAGATCGCATGATCTCTCTCTCTCTCTCTGGTCGCATGGATTTCTCTTTGGTTTTTCCCTCCACGTTTAGAAATGTGCGTTTAAATTTAATTGGCTGCCACTAACCATGAGCTATCATGTGTGGCCCAGTCACCTCTGAAAATGAGCTCGCTGCTCAATAAAAATGTGTTTAGTCGTCAAGAAAGAATGCTTGCAATATTTATTTAACCGCACGTTGTTGAGCAAAGAACTCAGCTCACGATGCGGCGGATAGCGTTGGGTTATTCACAAAGCTCCTCAATAAGAGTGATAACCGTCACTGCAAGTGATGAACGCACGAGGGTAGAGGGCACTTACCAATGGCAGTGGTGGGTTCCGCTTTAGATGATGAAGCAGGAAAGTTTAGGAGACAGAAGTACAAACATTATTTTAAGTAAAAAAAAATGTAACACGTCCAAAGCTTTCGCAATATTATCCATAATATAGGTTTTTGGGTTAGATCGCGTTTATATAAATGTGATGCTAGTTTTAACTACTGGCGAAAAGTTGTTACTCGAATTCTAAATTTTGTGGGTTTACTCTCCAACACACTGGTGTGCTGTACTAGTAACGAATTGGCACGTTCTGTTTACATGACAAACCTCACTATTGGCTGTGCCGGGTGGTGGCGGGTTTAACAACACATTTATATTTACACTACCTAACCCAAAAACCTCTCAAAAACCTCTATTACGCAAAGAGATACAAACACATTTTGTTAAGCTAAACATGTAAAAAATGTTGCTGTCATTTGATGATTTGGTAATTTTTACGACTGGAAGTCAGTGGAAAGTTGGTTTCTATGAATATGTAAGCAGATTCATGGTGTACGTTTAAAATATACATTTGTTAAATGTTAGTGCCATGCAATGATAGTATTTGCAAAGGCGACAGAGTTAATGATGCTTAGATAATCTTAAAGCAAAATTATAAAAAAAAAAAACAATACTGAAAACAACAGATATATATTGCTGAGAGTTTCACGGTGCGTTTTGGAAAAAAAATAGCAAAGTTGTGCTCCACGTTACCAGTTGTCGTAGCTTCGTAAGTTTAAAGTCACATGTTGATAGAAATACAACAAAAACATGATCAACATTATGTTCATTTTCAACAAATAACTGTACAGTGCCGATCATGATCATGATTACGAACGAATGTTCTGCAAGCTTCACGCGTGATTATACAGTTGCAATGACAATCGAGCCTGTATGCGGTATGAGGGGACTAGTGGCCACGGGAGGTAATGACAGGGGAGTCAGCCTACAGTGCGAATGCACTAGTGGCCACGGGAGGTAATGACAGGGTTATCAGTTGTGAGTGTGTGAAGGGACTAGTGGCTACGAGAATGTTCGAGAAGGGAGCGTGGTCAGGTGATGGTGACGGAAGAGGAGAGTAGAGTCTGCCGGTGGAGCGAGCGTTCAGAGTCAGCGAGATTGATCCAGAAGAGGTTTGCGTGGCCTCGAATTGGCATATAAGGGAGATTCGCAGGAGAATCGGGGATGTTGCAGCGGGGTCTCCGCCTGATGTCAAGTGAACGTGTCTTCAATCAAGTGCCATCTCAAGAGAAGTGTGTCGTCATTACAGAGTTATGGAAAATAGCGTAAAACGCAATGTTTGCTTCAAGAATGTTGAGACACCGTTACACGATTCCTACAAATGCAGGCTATTGTTTGCCCATGGCCTCTGTGGTTTTATTGTTTTGTGCGTGCCCGGGCAAAGACAAGGAACATGAAAGGGCCTCTTACTAGGTAAGGTTGTCGGGTCTGCTCCAGTTGATGAAGACATTTGAGAGAGGAACACAAGCAACAGATTATTAGTCAAAGGATTTGGTGGTGGTGGTGGTGGTGGTGGTGGCAATGGTGCACAAGCACAGCCAACAATAACACCACCAGTAACAACTCAACGTGTTCATCAACAACACTGTTTGATGCCTTCAAAGGATTAATATAAAATAAGTGACATGTTGAGCAATGGACCGTCTCCATTTATGTGCAAATAAAACCTTTAAAAATATATTTTTTTAATTGTTCTTTTCCTATTACTACATTAAGCTTGCCTAAGATAAACAAGAGCTCGATGCTTCCTGGTGCAGATTCCAACCACGTTTGTGTCACCTGTTATTGATTATATCCTATTCGAGTCTAATTTTACGTCACCTAACTTCCACGAGTACACAGAGTGCATGTGCGTGTGGGTCTGTCCTGTGACCTCCTGCAAGCGGGCATTCGAAGTGCACGTAGCCTGGCACAGGCGCCGTGGTGATGTCACGGCCACTTAGTGGCGAATGGCCGTTGTTGTTGTGTGATTAGTAATAACGCCCTAAGAAAGATTGTTTTAAGGGTGCTTTATACATTTAAATTATTATTAATGACTTCACCTTCATTAGATATGGCCACGTAATGAATCTGAACTGTTCGCGTTGGGAGCGAGGGTTCCACAACCACGGTTTTTGTAATCCACCCTGGTACCGATTAACATATTTGTATGGCGTTCATACTGTTAAATGCTCCAGAAGAGCATTCAACAGCTGGAAAAAAAACAGTCTCAGACTCACTGTGTGTATAATACACGGAATGGATTTTGACAAAGAAGGCTGGAGGCTACACCTAACTGGGATCTGAACTCACGATTTTTTTAATAGTATCGTGCCATGGCCCATTGCACCACGTCATGGCAGGATACATCATTTAACATTAATCAGCACATGTAAACGTTTGTATTTGATAAAAGTATCTTACATTGTATATACAAATAACTAGAAATGTACAAAATAGTCTTACCGAAAGTAGGGATAGCCCACCAGTCTGAGGGGAGAAAAAAATATACTTGTTAAAATTCAATAACATCAAAACATTGGACTAGGGCAAGGGTAAGGTTAGAGATAGGTTGAGGTCCTGTCATGCTTCAACACTTTTGCCCAACTAATGACAGATCCACACACTTCACAAAGCAGAGCACTTTGGTCGATTAAAGCTAACGTCAGTCACACAATGAAAGGTGTTCAAATAAATATCAGGTGTCACAACCACCCCCCAACATTACCTGCAATTATATCCTACGTGAACACGTTGCTATGTTTTGTACAAACACGCCGAGTGTTTTCTCCGCATTCTCTGCCGATTCCTCCCACTCGATGCCAAACGCTCGAGTTGGCCAAGCGAGCACGCTGCAATCACCATTTTTATTTCCCCCCCGCCTCCACGCCCCCTTTCCGAGCGCGCACGTAAAATGTTCGAACAGATAACCTGAAGAGCAGACGACGGAGGCGTCATCTCCGTGGACGCAGTTGTGATACCCCCAGGAAAGGTGCTCGCACTCGGAGAGCCGCGACTCCGTGCCGGAGCATCGAACGTCGTCCAACCAGATCTGGCCGCTGCCCGGTCCGAAGCGCGCGTTCCTCGGTGCCATAAAGGCGGAGCCGCAGCCCAGCTGCTGGCACACGACGCCGGCGTGCTGCAGGCCCCAGATGTCGCCGCACACGGTGCCCCACGTGCCCTCGTAGAACACCTCCACCCGCCCGTGGCATGTGCCGCCTCCAGCCAGGCGGAGGGAAAAATCTGCAACGATAACGGCGGGAACAGTCGTAGGCGGGCTCTCTTTTGTTGTTGCTGTTGCTTCGGAGCTACGAAGTCACGGCGGCTTAAATTGGTCGAAAGGCAAAGGAGGAGCCTTGGCCAAAGAGATTCTCTTTTGCGTCACGCGACTCCAGTTGTTTGTTATGGAGGGGGCACGCTGTGTGTGTTCTTCTTCTTTCGCACCGTGTGTAGCCAACCGTGCTAGTCGGAGCTGTGAGGATAGCGAGCGTGTGCTGACATGCGCTCGCTTTAAGGCGTCAGAGTTTATCGTCAAACATGAAGGGTGTCTTGCGTCTAGCGAAGAGCAGTCATCTCCGCGCAGGTTCGACAGGAAATCCCCGTGGTGGCGTGCACGCAGCGCCATGTGCAGTGCGAAGGAAGTTGAACGTGCAGGCAGCAACGCGTCACGGAGTACTCACCAGCGGTAGTGGTGGTTGGTTCTGACCGCGGACATTTGAAGGAGACAGAAAAATACATCACAGTGTCAGTTGTTTTTAACAGAGACACCACACACACTTAAGCTGCTTTTATGGTTATCTTTTTTGCAAAAAGATTGTAAAACAATTTTTGTTATATATATCAACAATTTTGCTGTTTTAAAGCTTTCGTGACTGCAGGGATTCATATTCTTGGTTCTTTCGGTAAAGTCACGTAGAAGGGAAACAATAAAATAATAAAAGTATAAAACAATAAAATTATCACGACGTTTCGACTGCAACACAAGCAAACATCATCAGGTGTGAAAACCACAACAAGAAAATTTAAAAAAAGTGGCGGTTATTTTTAACGTTAGCACCACGGAGGCTGTCCACATATACAAACACAGAGACAATTTCAACCGAGAAGATGGATTCTGGCTGAGCAATCATTGGAAGGATTTGATAAACCATTTCAGGTCTTAATTGATTGATCACGCTTAAGGTGGCTTTCAGACCACATCCATTATTTTTCGTCTCCCCCCTCCTCTTTTCCGAACATAGATGGACTCGTCCATCTGAACAGACTGTTAAATCTCTCTCCGTGGTGCTAACGTTAAAAACTGCCACTTTTTTCAAATGTTCTTGGTGTGGTAATCACACCTGATGATGATTGCTTGTGTTGCAGTCGAAACGTCGTGAGAATTTTATTGTTTTATATTTTTATTATTTTATTGTTTCCCTTCTACGTGACTTTACCGAAAGAACCAAGAATATAATTTTGCTGTTGTTTTCCCTCAATTTCCAACAACACTTAAATTAGCCCCATCGTATAATTTGACAAAGGCTGAACGATTCTTTGTAAAATTATACAAAGGTGGAATGACACTTAGAATTTGTCATATACTTTCCAATATAGAACAATATAAGTCGATTTTATTTTTACAAATAGCCTAAATAATGGCATTTTCCCATATTACAAACTATGTGTTTCTGGAAAATGCCCGATGATGCTGGTTGTAAGCGCCGGCGAAAAGTCTGCACCAAAATTGTTACACGTTGTTAGCAGCAACAACATTGGCCACGTCATGACAGCGCTAATCGTTGACCGTGCCGGGTGGATGGAGGCTGCACGACACAGCATTTTCCTTCACGCGATCCAACCCAAACATCACTGATGAATCGTAGGCGTTGGCAGCACGGCGGTGCAACGTTACCCGCGAGAGTAATGGTGAGAGCCCTTACCCAATGTTGGCACGACTGCAGACGACAAGGTTGCCATGCGAACGAGAGAAATTCATAAATGTTGTTATTAATTCATTTGCAGTTTTTGTTCTTGTAATAATATATTTATTGTGCTATTTTTCATTTTTTTTTCCAGGTGAGGGCCCACAGAGCTAGGCAGCTCTTTTTCAGAAGTGACCTGGCCACAAAGGATAGCTCAACGAAGTGGCTCATCACGTGGACATTTGTACCAGGAAAATGCTCTGAAAGGATGTTTCTAAATGTGGAGGGAAAACCCCGGAGGACCCGGAGAAAAATCCACGCGACCACAGGGAAAACATGCAAACTCCAAATGGACAGGCATCAGGGTCGGGATCGAACCCACGACCTCCTGTATACCAGGCGAGGTAGTTAACATCTAGCCTCCGCTGCACCACGTTTTTACAGTATTAATAATAAACTCAGTTTTATAAAGCGCCTTTCAAATTGATAATCTCACCATATGATAAACATAGTTTTAGGTTCCCTACACATCATGATGGAACGCAGGGCACGGGATGGGTACACCATTCATTCTATTGTAGATATTAAGATCAATTACAAACTTAAGCAGGTATAGACTACTGCATGCACTGGTGCTTCTGTGCATTACTGTTATGTGTGTTCTAGTTTTCCCGTGACAAAGTCACCCGATCTCATCACATCTCGAAAGCTAAGACGGTTCGAGCCTGCACAGTGCTCCGATGGGTGACCGTTACGGACGCGAGGTTTCCATCGGTGTCCGTGCAGCTGCGCAAAGTTGTGAACTCAGGGGGGAATGTGGCAAGACCCACTGATGTACGGTCTGCTGTCCTATTAACGGCACGTGTTTTCACAACGCAAAATTGAATGCAACACGATTAATGTGTTAGGGAACGCATTTTTTAATATCGCGGGTGCAATTTGGATATAACGCTATCGAGTGAACGGAACGAATACGCGGTTGTACGGCTGCCTTGGCGAAGCATCACAAAAGGCAGTGGGATGCTGCTGGATTCGTCTAGATGCTACCCACGCACCTCGGTCTTTGCTCAGCCTGCTTACGCACCTCACGTGTTATCGTGGACTGTGCTTTACTCCCTATATTATATATTATTTATTATAACGCGATTTTTCCATAATGCGGTGTTCTTCAGGAACACAACTACCGCGTTATAGAAGAACAGACTGTGCTTCAACTACTTCTATGTCCTATGCTTCTTGCCATCAACTACCTACATTGATCAGCATGGTGAAGTATGGCCAAATAATCCCCAAGACCAGTATGGTGTGAGAAGGCCCTTTACTGCCAAAGGATTGACAGATAAGGTGAGCGCATGTCCATGAATCCTGGTGTAGCTGGTGCAGTGGAAATAGATATGATGATTTTATATCTCACCGGACACAGCTGAGAGGTCCAGTCCAGACAACGATGGTGAAGCCATTGGGAAGAGATAAAAGGAAAAATCAAAGTTTACCAATGACAGTGCATGGAATAAAGGAGATCCACGTGAATTTTACTCATCGGTCGCGATGGCCAGCCGAAGAAAATACACACAACCCAAGTCTAACCCCTAACTCTGTCTCCCTAACTCTGACCCCTGACCCTGACCCCAAACCCAGACCCACCCACCTCCGGACCCACCCCGCACTTCCGATTATCACGGTTGGCAACATACGTTGCGCGAGAAGTTCAACATACATAAGTAACAACTAAAGCATCACGAAATACACTCAATATGTACATTTGGTATTCGTGCCATTCTTGCCGAGCAGAGGCCATCACGATGGCATTACGCGTGGACAATGCCGCGCAGAACGTCGAGACGTTAAACTCATCGTGCTCTCACCCATGGGCTTCCACATCTGGCCATCCCGCTCCCCCCGCTCCCCCCGCCCCCCCCACCCCCCCGCATGGACTTTAAACGTCCTCATCCCTCAATGTTGCTCGCTGTCCCCCGAACCAAGACCCTCCTGGCGGAGCGCCGTCACTCCGTGGCTGCTCCCATTATTGTGGCGTCGAATCCCCACAAGGCACGGAACAGCAGATCCACCACCACCAGGTTGAAGAGACTGGTGAAGGCCGCTCGTCCGTTTCGTCGGACGGACGAGGAGGAACCCGGAGTCTTACTCCGCGGAGTCTCTGAGTCACGACTGGAAATGATCTTCCTGATATTTGTACTATTATACTCTTTGGGTCTTTCGGTAAAGTCACGTATTCTTTATAGATATCTTCAGTTCTGTCTATATGTCTTAGCGCTTGTTTGTAGTTTTGTTTGAATTATAGACTTGTTAATTAAAGGTGACTATTATTACCGTGTAGTAGGTGTACATATTTTTACAGGGCTTATGGGAAAAAGCTCATTTCTAATTAAGACGCACGTTAATTTTCATTTTATTTCGATAATACAAACATTACAGAAAACGTTAAATATCTTACCCGTTGCATAAGTAGCCCACATGTCTGAAGAGAAAGCAAAATAAGAAAACACGTCATATAAAACTAACCTTAACATACAACAACAACAACAACAAAATGCACTGCAAATGCAGGTGGCATGGTCCGGACAAACATTTTGTGTGTGTGTGGGTTCTTGCCTTAAAGCAACACGCGGCACATGAAGAGCAAGGTAAATGGTTGGAATATAATCTACCAAATTCCCATCATCGCAAATAGCACCGAAGTGGACTTTCCAATGTCTCTCACATATTGTTGTAATTTTAATATTTTGTACATACTTGTATATTTTGTTATGCTTTTGTTGAATTGCAATGACCCGGAGGACACATGTGTATCATTTAAAAACCTACAGCATCCACATGGCCACGCAAACCCTTAAATCAAAGACTTCCCCATCTACAAGACCAGGTAAGAGCCTGTAGATACGGGAAGTCTTTTTATTCGACGGAGATGTGGAATATATATATATCGTTGATATTCGTAGAATTGTAGATTTATCGGTTATCAGAACGAGTGTTATTGACTCGGGAGATCTTTAAAGACAAAGATTCCCCATTTTAGCCTGTAACAGACTGTTGGGGCAAGTGCTGTTAGCGAGTAGCACCTATGAAGACCGGCACGGCACACGAGGGGGTGGGTGGCCAGCACCACGCCCGGCCACCTTTGTCTCCATAGTGGCGATGTTTACACATCGCACCAGGTACCATTAAAAACAATAGTCCCATATCAGTATAAAAAAAAATTGAAGCACCCTGTATGTATAAAGGTTGACACGACGAACATGAGGGGTGGGGGAGATTACCGTTCGAGCAGATGACCGAAGCGTCTTCGTTGTGGCCGCAGTTGTGAATGCCAAACGGAGGGTGGCCACACTCAGATAGCCGAGACTCGTAGCCAAAGCACTGGACGTCATCCAGCCAAATGTTACCGCTGCCCTCCCCAAAGTAGGCGCTTTGCAGGGCAGACAGGGCATAGCCACAGCCCAGCTGACGGCACACGACTTCGGCATGAGATGCCTGCCAAATGTCATCGCACACCGTGCCCCATGAACCGTTGTAGAACACCTCCACCCGGCCATGGCATGTGCCTCCCCCGGCCAGCCGGATTAGAAAATCTGAACCAAAAACAAAGGGGTGGAGATAAGACAAATGTCAGCTTGTGAGTGTTTTTTTTTGCTGATCAAACAATCCAGAGGCAGAGCTCCCATTATCGCGTGGAGGATCGCAACAGTTGAATCAAGTTGAATAATGGATTTTTGATGATACATCCGATACATTGGCATTTTCAGATGGAATTACTCCGTCATGTGGCCCTCAAAGAGCCCAAATTTGACTTTGAATCAACGTCCTTGTATTCTGAAGAGTTATTCGTCTTAAGCAACTTTGACTTTGTTTTCAATAAAAAATAATCTCCATTGGTTTGTTTTGGTAAGGCCTCTGACCTGTAATTATCAGGACCCAAAGCAAACATTTAAGAGTAGGACATGACAAGTATTTAAATATGATGCCAATATGTGAATATATGTAATCGTTAAAAATGTACTGTTCATATTATTGAACAAAAAATGTCACTGCATCGCTCGCTTTCAGACGCGCTTCCGTGGCCGTCTGGAACGTTCTTTTTTCCGGTATTAGGAAGCCACTGGAGCTACGCGCTTTTAAATCGTCTAGATTGACAAACTCATTCCTTTAGAAATGCTTTTTATGTTTAGTTTGTTGTCCTTCCCCCGCAACTCCGATTCGCACGGTTGGTTACATACGTTGCGAAAGAAGTTCAACATACTTACAATGATGCTCATAACGATACATTTAAATAGCTTATCATATTTAATACCACTATAATTTTTATAAAATGGGATATGATGATAATAATACAAAATAATATAGGCATATGACTGTAAAAAAGGGCTATAGTAGGAACATCTAGGTTGTTTTTAGTTGTCAGAGTATCTCGGGTAAGATGATCAGGACTGCTGAAGATCGTTGGGCCTGTGTTTTGAGGTGAGATCCAGCGATGGTCACAGTGTATCGTGTCATATATCATTAATACGTTCACATTATTATTCATAAATCACTGTTAGTTAATATATACGTAACTACATTTTTGTTACATGAATGATCCCGTTTAGCCAATTGTCCGGCTATGTTACAAGGGGGGATCCGTGATGCATGAGGACAGCAACAACAACAACGAAGACAAAAACATCATCAATGTGGCAGAGAATGAGTGCAGCAGGCTCCTTACAGAATGTTTAACACGTAGGCTTTCGCGACCTGTATCATCCATAATACAGTTTTTTTTAAGAAGATTACACAACTCATACACGAGGTATTTAATGGTCTTAAACGAAACATGACGTGAGTGGGGGAAAAAAACCCCAGCGAATGAGAGATAGACGCACCAGAATAAAGTTAGGTACAGGTGCAAAGTAATCTCTATAATTTAGTCTAACAGTGACATAACCACACGAAAATCGAAAAAGGAAGGTGCAGATGCAAGTATGGCTCTGTGTTTTGGTATTAACAAGGAGATAAAGAGGGGGATTGAATGGAGAGAAGCAGGCTGTATTCCTGAAACGCGAAAAGACTTTTTTTTACTGAAGGAAGGTCTTAGCAAGTGGCAAGTTTTACTCGGAATAATAAGGAAGCACTCCTGAGGGCAGAAAGACATCACTTACCGCTGGCTGTGGTTGGCCCGACTTCAGCACATTTGAAAGAGATACACAAAGACGAAATGTTAATGTTACAGAGAACAACAAATCCGGAGACGATCCGTAGAAGTCCTCATTCACGTGTTCCCAGAAAGACAGTTTAAAGTAGATATTTCGTGGGAAAACATCCAATCTTTAGATGTGTTATGTTTGTCTTATCCCAAATTGTCTCCTGAATGGATTATGTATTAATTACGAGACAGAATAAAAACTCTGACGAATAAATGTTAAGGCCCCCCACATGTTTTAAAAAGGTCCATGGAAGCAAATTTCAAGGAACTAGTTCTGAGATCCCTTAAGGCAGGGGTGGGGAACGTATACAGCCCGCGGGCTGTATAAGGCCCGCAAAAACATTTGATCTGCTGGCCCTGCCAATGCAACCGCAGACGGGACACGAAAATTAAATAAATCTAGGAGCAAACCTGGAAAAGCAGTTGCGAGTAGCAACATCATCAACACCAGCTAACATCATCACACGCCTCCCCAAAGAGAAGCAGTTCCAGCCATCACATTAGGGGTGAGTTATTTAAATGTTTGACCAAATATAACAGGCTAATTTTTAAGTTAATAATTTTGTATGGCCCGCGAATGATGTTATAAATACCCAAATGGCCCTTGGCAGAAAAAAAGGTTCCCCACCCCTGCCTTAAGGTGACCGCTTATCCAGACTAGGGGCTCAGCGCTTCCCCACTCACCCTGCTACAAAGCAATGTTCGTGACACACGTAAACCACTGTTTTTCATTCTCGAAAGTGGAAATTGGACAGATTAAGGCCAAAAACAAACGTGACGTGACGGTGTTTGTGCAGTCACTGGGGACCGGGCCGAGACCGTGAACTTGCGCCTCGCTCAAGGACCCCACGATCTCGTTGGCGTCATCTCAGGACGTCTGAGCGATCTCGTGAATTCAAGATTTAGTGGTTTTCTTTCATCCAAGTAAGGTTAAAAACATTCATGTATGAGAACCATCTGCCTGCCTGCCTGACCATCTTCCTGTGTCGGGGCGGCGGCGGGGGGGGGGCTGGTGGCATAACTCTCTGATTGGCGACGTACGGCGCGAAAGAAGTTTTCAACAGACGCGCATACAAAATTTACTTCGAAAAATACTTTGGTGTTAAGTTACGATGGTAATCTGAGCATTGCTGGTGACGGTTGCTGGCAACGATTGCCCGAAATGTTCCCAAGGGGATCGTAACCTTAACGCAAAAAATATATATATATTTTTTAAAAAGTTAATCGAATGGCTTAAAACTTTCGTGACTGCATGAATTCATATTCTTGGTCCTTTCGGTAAAGTCACGTAGATAGAAAACTAAAAAAAATTTAATACAAGATTTAAAAAACATAATTAAAGCTTTTATTACGTTCAATTTATTATTTATTTTATTTACATTTTCTCTTTATTTTTTAATCTACGTGACTTTACTGAAAGAACCAAGAATGTGAGTTGATCGAATGTTTGCCTGCAACTCGGAGACCCAACACAGCGGCTTCCCGCCTCCTCCCCCGGCAGGGCCGCTATCCGAGCCTCGGTGTCTCATCGCGGCCTATGGATCACAACCTTCATATATATTTTTTTAAAGATCCAATGTGAAAGAAACTTTAGTAGAAGGTTGTGTTGCTACTGGGGACTAACCCAAGAGGGTTTGCCCCCTTCCCTCGTCGTGGCATCCGGATAACTGCGCACTTCGGGGACAGGAGGCCTGATGCTGATGCTGTTACCATTTTAAACAATTTAAATCGCCTAAACATTTAAATATTTCTGAGGATAAACGAACACTGGAAAGCATTGCAGAGTACATCCACGTGCGTGATTGTTCTCCGTTAATAAACGCGGGGTTTTGACGAGTTGCCGAATCGATATTTAACTCACGGTCTCTTTTGGCGCCAATCAAGAGTTGTGGTGATATTTTTTTGTAAACTCGTTTCTCTTATTCTAAGCAAGAACTTGCTACCGTTAGACACGTTAACTCGGTTGTTTAGAAACAATAAACATAATAAAGGCCGTCTGAAGCTCCCTCTCTCTCTCTCTATAGTTCTACTTGTGCACGAAGTCACATTGAGGATTACCTGTCGTAGCTGCTCCAGACGATGATGAGGACGATGAAGACATTTAAAAGACAAAACACATCCGCAGGTTATCAACGAGTGCACATTTTAAATTCACATCTTTTTGCGATTGAAAGTAACTTGTGATTGAACGCCCGATGCGTTGTTGATGCGCTCCGACGCGGTTGAATATAAATCTGGCTACTGTACGCATTGCGTAATTGGTGCGTGAGGGAAATAACAATAATGATAATAATTGAGAGATTATCTCACCTGTGGTGCTTGTGGTGTCTGGTCCCGACATTGTGCGTGCAAAAGTTGCATTCGAGAAAGAAAGAAAAACAACAACACCAAGGTCATAAACTTCGCGTGTGTCGAGTTTGTGACAGCTCTCAATTGGTGTAGTTTGCGTCTGCCCCCGTTGACCCAGACAATAAAACAAACACACACAAATACTAAAAGGGTGCCCCGTACTTGAGTTGAACTTCACTCGTGCAGGGCTTTAACGAGCAGCGTGTTTGTTCAAAGTTGTTGTTGACAGCGCTTATTGATTGGCCGTGTCGCCTTGTGTAGGGTGGACGATGCACAGGTTGCGCTAACGCAATCTGACACACAATCTGGTACGAATAATAGCACTAAAATCACCTCGATTCGTGTAGAGTGTATTGACATTGTAGGCTGTGTAAATCAACATCGCAGAATCGGGATCTTTACTTGGACTGCGAAGCTCCGTGTTCACACAGGTGTCCAGTTGGGACGAGTACTAAACAAAGTACTAAACAACGTGACGATGTGCACATGTGGTGTTGTACACACGTGGTGTTGTACACATGTGGTGTTGTTGTACACATGTGGTGTTGTACACATGTGGTGTTGTTATACACATGTGGTGTTGTACACATGTGGTGTTGTTATACACATGTGGTGTTGTACACATGTGGTGTTGTACACACGTGGTGTTGTTGTACACATGTGGTGTTGTACACATGTGGTGTTATACACATGTGGTGTTGTTGTACACATGTGGTGTTATACACATGTGGTGTTGTACACACGTGGTGTTGTTGTACACATGTGGTGTTGTACACATGTAGTGTTGTTGTACACATGTGGTGTTGTACACATGTGGTGTTATACAAATGTGATGTTGTACACATGTGGTGTTGTTATACACATGTGGTGTTGTACACATGTGGTGTTGTACACACGTGGTGTTGTTGTACACATGTGGTGTTGTTGTACACATGTGATGTTGTTATACACATGTGGTGTTGTACACATGTGGTGTTGTACACACGTGGTGTTGTTGTACACATGTGGTGTTGTTGTACACATGTGGTGTTGTACACATGTGGTGTTGTACACACGTGTTGTTGTACACATGTGGTGTTGTGATCTTACACTGCGTGCTTGAAGCAGCCCACGCGTCTAGAGGAGGGCGAGAGAACGGACGAATGTCACCGAAAACTGTCGGAGAGAGCCTTGGCAGGGGGGGGGTCACGATTGTGGCACACGAGGGGGTGGGTGGCCCACAGCACGCCCGGCCGCCTTTGTCTCCCCGGTGGCGATGTTTACTACACACAGCACCGGGTACTCATTTGAGGCTGAGTCGACCTAGGGGGGGCCCAGTGAACAGGAATCGAACTCGGTTCGCCAGGTTCATAGCGCTAGTGGCTTGCACACACAGAGACACATACACATAGACACAGAGACACACATACAGACACACACAGAGACACACATACACACAGACACAGAGACACACATACAGACACACAGAGACACATACAACAACAACAACCGCCATTCGCCACTAAGTGGCGGTGACGTCACCACGACGCTTGTGCCAGGCTATGTGCACCGTGAGGCCACGTGAAGTGTCGAACGCCCGCTGGCAGGAGGTCACGGGGCAGACCCAAGTGCCACGGGTCGACTGACTGAGATGACTGGCTGATGCACCACCTGTGCCCCCTACTGTGCCAACAAACACAGACACACATACAGACACAGAGACACGCAGACACACAGACACGCACACCCTCAAACACCTTGCGAGCAGATGACGGAAGCGTCCTCGTTGTGGCCACAGTCGTGAATTCCCCAGCCATTCTGGCCGCACTGCGAGAGCTCGGCCTCTTGACCCGAGCACTGGACGTTGTCCATCCAGATGTGGCCGCTGCCCACTCCGTAGTAGGCGTAGAGCGGCGCGGACAGCGCCTCGCCGCAGCCCAGCTGGCGGCACACCACGTTGGCATCTTGCAGCTCCCAGAGGTCGTCGCACACCGTCCCCCACGAGCCGCCGTAGAACACCTCGACCCGCCCGTGGCACGCGCCTCCCGCGGCCAGTCGGATGGCCACGCCTGGGTGCCAGGGTGAAGGGGCCGATGAGAATGCGTTTTGGGACTTTCGGGGATCTGCTCGTGCTGGGGATGATGCCCCATTGGCTCGTGGCGTTTGTCCGTTTGAGTCCCAGTGCCGGATTATCATCTTAGCAAAAGTAGCTACTACATATGTAGCTACACGTGTAGCTACGGGCCCCCCACTTTCAAGGGCCCCGCGCTAAATTATTTCAAGCTATCAATTCCGGTTCAGTGAATCTGCACTTTCTCGATTACTCTAGTACTATAACGCCTTCAACTTTTACGAACGACTGGGTTTTTACATTTTGATTTGAAGCTTTCGTGAATGCAGGGATTCATATTCTTGGTTCTTTCGGTAAAGTCACGTAGAAGGGAAACAAAATAATAATAAAAATATAAAACAATAAAATTCTCACGACGTTTTGACTGCAACACAAGCAATCATCATCAGGTGTGAAAACCACAGCAAGAAAATGTTTTAAAAGTGGCGGGTTTTTTTTAACCCGCCACTTTTTTCAGTCGAAACGTCGTGAGAATTGTATTATTTTATATTTTTTATTATTTTATTGTTTCCCTTCTACGTGACTTTACCAAAAGAACCAATAATATGAACGACTGGGTGTTTAAGGTTTGCGATTTGTCGTATTATCTGGCTGTATAGCAAATGAAAAAATACAATTACTTTACTATGCGAGCTAAAAATGTGTGTTTTAATATGTATGTGTTTTTTTTATTTAAGGCCCCTTTATTACATATGCTAAAAGCCCCGCGCTAGCTTAATCCGGCACTGTTAAGCTCCCACGACTTTGAATACGCAACGCGCAGTTATGCTTGGTTATTTGAAAGGTTCTCTGTGGTTTATATAATCACAAAACTATCCAGAGGAAGAGAGAAAAAAACCCATTCATGACGTGAAAGTTTATCACGTGACTTGACAATGAGTAAAGGGTAGCAAAGCCATTCCTTGCACGAGCAATCATCTTGACATGAGTGACATGGGGATCACAGGATCACTTGAATGCAAGTTACACGCAATGACACTGAGGTGTTGCATACGTGAGCAGAATAGAGGGCACTTACCGACAGACGTGCTTGCAAGATAAGGTGTAGATGATGACGCTGTAGACATAAAATAAGTAAAACGCCAAGTATAAGATTTTGTTGGTCATGGCAATCCTGGTCCCCCGTTGACCCATCCCCTGCTACCCCTGCTCTGTCCTTTCATCTCACTTTAATCCCCGCCGCACCTCCGATGAGCACAGTTGGATACGTACGAAAGAAGTTCAACATACGTACATGCTTTCCATTCCAGCAACCAAGGCATCCTCCTATATCGAAACTCCCGGTTAACCTCGACTCAACAGGAGGTCGCTCCTTCTCTCATGTTGTGCCTGCGGTTTGTGACTCCATTACCCTCAACCGTCCATACTAAACTAAAGCTTTTTTTTGTTTACCAGGTAAGGCCCACTGAGCTACAATTCTATTTTTTCCGAAGCGACCTGACCACAAATGATAACTCAACGAAGTGGCTTATCATGTGGAAATGTATAGCAGCCAAACACTCTGAACGCGTGACGTTGATTCTACTCTCAACCCCCTGCCTCCATTCAAGTCCAGACTCAAGACCTTCCCTTTCCCCTGCTGCCTATGACTGTCTTCAATACAACATTACATTTTTATGGGATGTGTTTTTAGATATTATCTGAAAAATCGGCCTGGAAAACAAACATCTGAAATGATTTTAGGGTTTATCCACAAGATGTCCCGGCATCATGCGACAGCATCACCTTCCACGCGATAGAGGGAGTGGTGAAACAATTGCCACGCCACTTTTGTTCAGGTGTGAGCAAATGTGTCTGCATGAGAGTGTGAGCGTCAGATAGTGTGCCTGATAACAGCACTTGCCCCAACAGCCCGTGAAGGCTACACGGGGGATCTGTGTCTGTGTTTGCAGGTAAGTGGCTTGCTGAGAAACTCCTAAGCGGCCCGTGATCACAGTTGGTTCATCAGGGAAAGAATTGTGATCGGAGCAATAATCCCCAAGATCAAATCCGTAGATTTGCTGAGCAGAATCAGAAAACGTATATACATACTGGAGGAATCCGATAAGTTATAAAGCTCTTTCACAGATGTGCAGTACAGCATGTCTGTGAGGCGTTGAAGAAGGAGCTCCCTCAACCCAAAAAAAAACGTGGGACGATGTTGGCGATTGACCTCCCTCCCGATAGGGCTGCCGAAGTCTCTCAAATTGGATGGAAGCGGCCACCGCAGGCGAAGTGCCACCTCCCAAGGAGCCTGAGACCACGAGAGAGGCGGGGGACGACCTGGCGAGGCAAATTTGCCGATGTGGGTCGAGTGACGGCTGCGTGCAGGCCGGCACTGCGTGACGGCGTTACCAGCATGCGTGGACCCGCTGGGGGGTCCCTGGTTTGTTTTTACTTCCAAAGCAGCACCGCACGAATTGTTTCGACGAATGCCCTCCGGCAGCCACCCGACCGTCCGGTGAACGCGAGCTGTCATTATCGCACGCGTCACGTGAGCACGTGGTCGGAGTGACGTGGGGGAGGCTTCCCTCGCGTGGCTAAGCGCACACGGGGCAAGTGAGGAGTGCGGGTGAAGTCACTCACCTATTGAAGAGGTCGGGACTGAGCCACACGACGGGGGACATGAGAAACACAACAAACATCCGCATTATGTTTCATACACATTGGTCCTTTTAGTGAAATAGCGCTTCGATGTTAGTATAAATGTATTGGAATTTAAAAGCGGTCATGGTGAGCCTGAAAGTAATCGAATACAATGATTTTACTCCATTTATTTGTTATGGATTTTCTGAATAGCACCTGCACAAGGGCCGTTGCTCGAAACGTCGCCCATTTTATACGTGTTTTGTTCCTCTAAAGAAGTGCTCCGAACGAATGCAGCATCACCAAGTCGGTTGCCGAATGTGCTGTGTGTAGGCGAGGCTCTTCCAAGAGGCGCAGATGCCGTCGCTGAACATTGAAGTTGCGTCAGCTCGAGTCAAGTGAGAGATGGTGACCACATTCTAAGAAGTTGAGACCCTTTAGTGGCCAACTCAGTCATCAGACACCCTCCAGGTTCAAGCCACTACATCAGTGTGACAAAACAAAAACTCCGCTCATGATCAAATCACATTGATGATTCAATTGTATTTATGATCAAATCATTCTGATGGTTAAATCATATTGATGATCAAATCACGAAACAAATGATTTGGTGATGCTGATTCTTCTTGTTGTGGTATGGCTGCTGATGTAGATGGCAGAGCAGCAACTACGATTCCACATTCAGGTGATCAATCCAGCAGACAACCGCGTCAGGAGCAGTGGAGGAGTAGTGTAGTATCATCATCATCATCGCTGCGATGTCTCCTGCGTGTTTGTGATGCTGCTGCATTGGCAGTGGTGCACGGGCAAAGAAAAAGCGAACACTGCACTCGACACGTCTCAACAATAACCCAGACCCCCTTCTTCACGGCGCATTATTATGTGCTCGTGATGCCGCGCTCACAATGCGGTGTGCAGAAAGGAATGGGCATTGCCGGGAACGTCACCTACGATACGCTGCCCTTCGTGAGGCATCGCTATCCACGACCGCGTGGCGGTATTTCACGCCGGACTAAATGAACTTACGCGTAACGTTGCCGCGGCAGCCGTGTTCATCGGAGCCATCCGCGCAGTCCACGATGACGTCGCATCGCCAGCTCCACGGCAAGCACTGTCTCCCGTCGCTGCACTGAAACTGGTCGCTCGAGCAACGGATTGCTGTTGGCAAACACATAAGAGAGAGGAGCGATCGGCGCTGGGTTTGCGACGGAACGGGAACGCCGTTTCGCGAGTGGAGGTAGCGGAGGTGGTGGTGAGTGGGTGGGGGTGGAATGACGGAGGCGGTGGAGACTTCGAGCACGGCCTTGGTTGAAGTTCCGTCACCTGGCAAAGCGAGCGAGCTGCTGGTGTGTGTGTGTGTGTGGGAGACGGTGATTGCAAGTGCAAGTGTGGTCGTGGTGGTGGTGGTGGTTGTGGTGATGCTCTGCTTTGGTAGCCCGGACGAGGTCCTCTCCTCCACCGTCAGGCCCGGCGACATTGGCGGTGGTGGCCTCCCCGTGCTGCGGGGAAAGCTACACCAAAACTACTAACAACAAATTGTATTTCACCAGGTAAGGCCCACTGAGGTTTACGACGTCTCTGTTTTTTCTTCTTGAGAAGCGACCTGGCCATAAATGATAGCCCAACGAAGAGGCTTGTCGCGTGGAAATGGGATAGCGGCCGAATACTCGAAACGCGTAAGGTTGATTCTCATTGTGGAGGGAAACACCGGAGGACCCGGAGAAAAAAATCCACGTGGCTACAGAGAGAGAGAGACACCGCAAACTCCAAATATACAGCAGGCATCAGGGTCGAATCCACGACCTCCTGTGTACCAGGCGAGGGAGTTAGCTGGTGATGCGTTGGTGGTTAAGGATTTTTGCACAGCTCTTCGACTGTCTCCATGGGATCCTCAGGCGCTTAACACCGATCGTGTGAGGCAGCCCTGTTTCAAGTCGGTCACCACTACGTGCATACCATCACCAAGCCAAGAGTGATGGTGAAGGTGTTTCGCCGCACACGGTGAGTGGCCAGCAAAGAGGAGCCGGGTGATGTGGCTGTCGTTATCAACAACGGCGGTAACAGCAGCAATGTTTACATCCACCGCTGGATGAGTCATTATTGTGGAATCACACGATGCAATGTCGCTGTATCCGATGATGTAGGGCTATATATATCGTTCAAAAGACGGGAATCTGCATACCTGACAACCCCTGATCAGTGAGTTTAACACGTCGGCTTTATCAGTGTCCCACCTTATTACAGACCAATTCAGACCATATTGGTCACCCCGTGCCCTTATAAATCTGAACGTTCATCCTACAAAGGGAGAAACATAAAAAATATATACACAAATTATGATTTTTTTGAGGACCGAGTTAAAACGGCTGTACGCCCTATGGACCTAAAAACCCAATTCCCCTATACAATAATACGGGTTAAGCCCTATGGGTTTGACAGGCGTGAATTTAAAATGTTTCAAACATCTTGCCAAACAGGCCACGTGAATTCCACGCGACTGGGATTGCAAATAACAAACCGTGAGGGATGGGAGGAAGTGGACCTCCCACCTCTATCTGACTTCAAAATCCCAACGCGCCACGGGTTTGTTCTCTCGCGGTGGCATGTATCTGTGTGACGCGGGGGGTGGCGCGTGTCTGTGTGACGCGTGGGGGGTGGAGGGAGAGTGGAGGGGGGGTTATTGCATTGTCCTCTCCACTAGATGGCTGACAGGTGAGCCGGATAATATCTCGAGTTATCACACACACTCGAGATATCACACACACTCGGCCAGAGTGAACACGATGCGCGCTGTTAAATATAGCGCGCGCACACACACACACGCGCGCACACACACGCGCACACACACGCGCGCACACACACACGCGCTCGCACGCTCGCAAGCACATTACTGCCTCCGCAACTTAAACGACCTTGTGCCCACGTGGAGAGACGCGGGGCATCATTGCAAGTGTCGTTTAATTGTTATGGAGAGATTGTGTGTGTGTGTCTGCATATTAAAATAAACCAAAATTATAGTTATTATTACTAAACGATGGTAAGTATACATGCTTGGAGGCATAGCGAATTTTTTTTAAAAATTATGTTGCACCAGAAATACATAATAGCAACACAGCTAAAATATATATTGCAGGATTCCAAATCTTGCCTTGAATGCAACGCCACAGGTCTCCTGAAGTTGCATTCAAGGCAAGTTGACCTCTCCTTTCCAAGGTGATTGCTTAGTGGCGGGCCTGCGAGGGTTATTGTCTCAACGACGACGCAAGCACGAGGCGTGATTGTCACGAGGTCACTCGCGACGACACAAAGGTCTGCAAATCCAAGATGGCTGCCAATTCTCAATATGGCGAACTCATTTTTCTCTGTACGAAAACAAACTAAAAATCTTTTTTTAACCTTTCTGGCAATAAAGCAGGGGGTGTTAAGATGTTCAAACACCAAATATAATAAACCTTTTGCAATGAATAATGTCTGCATTAACCACACACGGTACTTGTGGTGAACATGCAAACAAGACATGCTCTGGTAATACACGAGCATTGTCTTTGCAACTGATTGGCCTACACCAGAGACAGCCTTCTTCAGGGCCTAGTCTCAAACAGTGTCAGAGCAGAGAACGCATAAAGACGAACAGCATAAAGAACACGCGCGATTAGAGCGATTAGAGCATGTGTAGCTCGGGGTGAGCAGTTACTAAACCTATTCTTGTTTTTTCATACTTTGATACTGGCAAAAAGATAAACATTTTCTCCACTGCACATTTTTACACATCCAAGCCAAGCCAGCGCAAGGCCCTAACGGTACAGGTGATTTTATATTCACTATTTTCCGGCTAAGCTTTCAGCAAAACCAGTCGACGATGACCTCACAAGACATCTGAATCTGGCTCGGGGGGTCAATTGATCGAGCAGCGCTGCATGAATGGAGCGTCACTTCCTCGTAATCTACACGAGTCTCGACTGGTCCGTCGAGTTACGATTGCAGCGGGAACAGCTCGGCTTCTGAAGTGCAAATACAACCCTGGCACCTCCAGAGCCGTGCTAAGCTGGCTCGCCACGGCTCTGTTGTACTGTGGGAAGTCGTCGTTTTGTGTCACTTCATCGGATTTACCACGCTGAAATTAATTCTGCTCTAAGTGCCACCCATGTAACTGTGACATCTTGGCGTGACACCTGTACGTCAATGGGTCCCATCGGGTCCGACATCAGCCACGTAGATGTTAGGCTTACAGTTACTGATACATTTACCAGGCATATGGAGTCTTACACATCTTCTTGTTTCATATTATACACTGCGTTGAATCTGTACAACAAATGAGGTTCATGAACCATTGCATTGCGCTCGACAGCTGGGACTCTCCCGTTTAGAAATAAACAAGAAACCTACTTGCATCCCATGATATGATAGATTACCTAGGGATTTTTTTGTACAGAACTCTGAAGCCATTTGCTGAGTCTACTGCCTAATGAAACAAGAATGTTGTGGTTAAAGATGGGCCTTCGAAAATGTAACTCGGATATGGACAGAAATGCACTTTTACTGGGTTGTTAATCTTTGTCCACAACAGCGGAGGCTGTGATGCTTGCCACAAGGAAGTCAATCCCTCACGGCTGTTTCATACAGTGGGACAGCTCCGCATTTTGCAATCATCCGTTCAGGGAAACTTCATTCGTATCCACGTGTGTGTGTATGGCCTGGCACAAGCGTCGTGGTGACGTCACCGCCACGTAGTGGCGAATGGCGGTTGTTGTATGTCAAAAAAATGAGCAATATCAGGCAGAACTGGTTGCAATCCTGGACAAAGCGGTCGGTTTTGAATTTGCATGTCGCTGTGTTTTTCCCTTATAGATATTTGTTTCCTCCCCTATTAAAATACCCATGGCAATCTTCATGTTGATTACCGAAAGACCCAAAGAGTATGTGGTTATTAACATTTGAACTATGTTCCCCTATAACGCCACGTGGTGTTTTCATAACGCGAATTGGATGTAACGCGATTAATATATTAGGAAACATTTTTTTTATTTTTACGCGGATGCGATCGAGTGACCAGAACAACGTGGCGTGAGTATAAGCGGTCGTACAGCGCAGCAGCATCACACAAGGCAGTGGGATACTGCTGGATGCTTCTCGATGCTACCCACGTGCCTCCGTCTTTGCTCGGCCTGCGTACGCGCCTAACGCGTTTTCGCGGACTGTGCTTCACCCCCCATATATCATACATTATTTATTATAACGCGATATTTCGATAATGCGGTATTCTTCAGGAAGGCAACCACCGCGCTATAGTATATAGCATTGTCATAAAAGACACCGCTGTTCATCGTCATTATTTACGTGCATGGGGGCACAGAGGTGTCAGCAAGTGTTGTGTACGGGCCATTGCGAGAGCGCCGTTATGACGTATGTACGCTGAACTTCTTTCACACCGTACGTAGCCGACCGTGCCAATCGGAGGTGGCAGTGTATGTCCGCCAGCTTCTAAACACTCACAAACATTCTTGACAGTGATCAATGTTACTGTGACTGCGTTCTTCCAGCGATACATGAGAACCCGTTGACATCGGATATACGAGTGTGTCTCTTCTACAGGGCAGTAGAATCACCGTTGTGACATTTATTCCGAAGAAAAGTGATCATTTGATCTAACTTGTAAAAGGGGAACACGGATGGTAAGGTCTATATCTATATCAGTCAAACTAAACAAAGTGGTTTCAGTTTGTGCCGGTTAAAGGTGCAGAGCAGAATAACATAGCAAGTGTGGTCCTCATTACCAGGAGAGGACTGGTTTTTACCTCCTTGGCTGTCATTAGCAAGATGCAACCAGTTGTGGAAGTGGCACAAAGGAAAAGCCAGGTCTTACACGCGCAGTCCACCCTGGCACCCACTCACCCACCACGACCCCCAGCGAGACACTCACGCAGAGGGCGCCCTGGCGCTGCGCGATATATGCAGAGGAGGAAGTTACTGAGGCCAAATGCATTTTATTTGATGACAAAAATAAAAAGCAGAACTTTACCCTTTCTGCCAATAGAGCAGGAGGAGGCGTGAAGATGTTCAAACACCAAATCGACAGCGATTGCAAGGCACCCAGTCTGCATTAACCGCACGCGCTTGAAGTAGAACACGCAAACACACGTGCTCTTATCATGATGCACGCATTGACCTTGTCTCACCACCAGTGTCAGACCAGAGAACGCCACGAGGCGGACAGTACAAAGGCAATGCACCTATCAAAACGTTAATAGAAACAAGCAATTTCAAAGACAATCGCACCTGCTTGTGCACGCTGGCCACGCGCACATCTAAGCGCTATCCCAGGCTTTAAACGCTGCGTACTTAGCTTACGAAATCTCACAATAACCGGACGCATTCATTCCGGCAATAATGCCAACATGCGTGCCCGAGGTTAACGTCATGACTATTAACAGCATTAGCAGTGCAAGGTGCGTCAAAAGTGAAATGCGTGCTGCAATAACAAGTCCGGCACGTCCCTAAACACAACGAAAGACACAGATCCCCCGTGTAGCCTTCACAAGCTTTTTGGGGCAAGTGCCGTGAGCGAGTAGCACCTATTAAATCCGGCACGGCGCACGAGGGGGTTGGGTGGCCAGCAAACACGCCCGGACGCCCGTAAGGTCATCGCG